GGCCCATAGCCAGGCAAGCGCAGGCCTCCAGGGCGCGGGGGCCGGGGCTCCTGAAGGACCAGAGCGAGCCGGGGCGCTGCGGAGGAGAAAATGCTGTGAGCAGCTGCTCGGCTCAGGCCCAGGGACGCGGCTGCGCTGCGCCCTGATCTGTTGCGGCCCACTGCACAATCGAACCCACCCGCCTCGCTGAAGCCTTTTCCGAAGTCCCAGCTTCCTCCCCTCCCCTCAGTACTGGGTAGAACCCAAGGGCGCCCTACCGCGGAGTGCCCTTTCTTCTCTATTTTTAAAATTTACTTATTTTGAGACAGGGTCTCACTATGTAGTTGAGACTGACCTGGAACTCACTCACTGTGTAGTCGAGGCTGGTCTCAAACTCACAGAGATCCTCCTGCCTCAATCCCCCGCCCCAGGACTGGGGTTATAGGCGTGTAACACCACACCCGGCCCTTTTTTTTTTTTTTTTTTCTGAGTAGGGTCTGGCTGTGTTCTCCCGCCTCAACCTTCCTTCCTTGCTACTGCATCCTGGCTCCAAAGCCTACCATTTTCGTGTTAGGCCTTGGGTACTGATGTGTACATGAAAGACCAGACCTTGTCCTCTGAGCTGCCACTGGCAGGGGTCACAGTGGAGGAGGGAGGGATGTTAGCAAGGGCGCATAGAGAGGAGGTACTGTGCTATAGTGACTTCATGGTCAGGTATAAATGCAGCAGCTGTTTCTCTCCAGGGTGGTGGCGGCTAGAAGATCGGCGTGAAAATGGAAAGAAAATTACCATCGGTCCCTAGAAAAGGCAGAAATTGAGCCCGCTTTTGTTTAAAATTAGCTTCAGTAGCTGAAGCAGATAATTGAGGAGAATGGGTTGTGTGAGAAATGATGCCTCTTAATCCCCTCCCCAGGGGACTTGGGCTCCTCCTAGAAATCCTCTCAGAAATGTGGGGCTGCGGGAGTGGAAGCCCAGCTGAGGGTCAGTGGCCACCCTTCCGAAACAGCTGCAGCAGGATGGGGGGACTCCCTGATGGAACTCGGGACAGTGGAGAGCTGCTGGGCCAAGTGAAGAGCTGGGCACTGATTTCGTTTCCACATGTGTTGAGGGCAGCTTGGGGTAGGGTTGGTCCTGGGAATGGCAGAGGAGGCAGCTGGACAAATGGACCAGGCAACCTGAGGTGCTCTAGGGGTGGGCTCAGCAGTTTGGATTTCATTCTGTGGGCAGGTTCAGGGTTACACAGACTCCACAGTGTCCTCTGGTATGTCTAGCGTTCCTTCACCATGACTGCCTCGCCTCACAGCTGCTCCGTGCCGAGCTCTAGTCCTGGCAGGCATCCCAGCACAGCTGTGTCTACCCTCAAGATGCTCAGGGCCCAGTTTTGAGGATAGGTGTATGCATGGATGGTAGTCCATTGTGCTCAGTGACAGCCCAGGGTAAGGCCCTCGGTTTAGACTTATGCTTAGGGTTCAAGGTAACAGACACTATATACGCTAGGCAGGCTTCTGTCCAAAGTAGAGTATACCTTGCAGGAATCTAAAGTCCGTATAACAAACACACAAATCCCATTGTCCCTGTCTCTTCCTTAGTAAGTGTGCAAAAGGACTGTGTTGGTTTCAATTCGTCTTCTGCCCCTGCAGGGAGACAGAACTGGGGCAGGGTTTCCTCTCTCACCCTTAATGCAACACACACTCCTTCCTCATACACATCTGGGAAGGGGCTGGATGTTGCCTCCCTTAGGCCACCTCTAGAAGCCCACATCCAGTCCACCCCCTGAGGTGACTCACCAGCAGGCCCTTCCCGAGTATCCTTGAGGTGTGTTGTGCCTTACCCGGAAGGTGTGGTAGAGGTGCCAACCAGCTGTCATAGATCAAGCCCCATCTCCGAATCACTCAGCTCTTGTCTATCAGCTATGACTCACAATGCATCTAGGCTGGGCCAATCCCAGGACAGAAGGTGCTGACTGCTGAGCTGTAGAACAGACCCTGGGAAGCCAGGCATGGTGATGTGGTATGTGCCTATAAACCCAACATGTGGGAGGCTGAGGCAGGAGGATCACCATGAGTTGGAGGCCAGCCTGGGCTATATACTGAGTTTGAGGCCAGCATGAACTATGTAGCAAGACTCTGCGTCAAAAAACTAAAACAAAAACCCTAGTGTTTCCCCTGGACCCTTTGAACCCAGGGCCCCACTGCACTGAGTTCCTAAGCCCTTTTTATTTTGATAAAGGGTTTCACTGAGTCAGTGTGTTGCTCAGGTTGGACTTGAACTTTCATTCCCTGCCTCAGTCTCCCAGAGAACTGAGATTACGGGCATGTGGTACCACTCCTGCCCATTCAATTAATTTGTTTTATTTTGTTGTGAGGGATTGAATTTAGAACCTTGTGCTTGCAAGGCAGGTGCAGTGCCACTGAGCTAAATCGCTGGCTCCTTTATTGTCCTTGGCAAGGAAATGGAGTTGAAGTGGTCATAAGCTGAATCCAAAAATTTGTTCTAGCTCGGTGGCAAGCCTATGGTGCACAGAACCCGCTCTGTCAGCGTGCAAGCCAAGCGTCCCCAGCAGCCAAGCACTGAGGCTTAATTGCAGTGTTGAGAGTTGATAATAAATAAGTGGGTTTTGGTTTGCAGTTTGGGAATTGGTTGCTAAGGTTCACCACTGCTGTTGTAGGAGATTGTTACGGTTTGTCTGCCAAGGGCTCGTGTGTTGGAAGTTTGGCCTCCAGTGTGGCAGTGTGAGATGTGGAGAGCAGTCCTGCCTGCCTGCCTGCCCATCTTCCTCCGCTCTACTTTCTCTTCTCTTTTCCTTTCCTATTTTATTTTCTTCTTTGGTGCTGGGTCTTGTTCCTGCTAGGCAAATGCTGCTCCACTGAACTACATTCCCATCCCCTAGTAGATCTTCCTAGAAGTCAGGCCTAAGGGAAGGTGTTATGATTGGTGGGAGCACCTTGGGAGGAATAGGTGCTGGTCTGGAGTTAGTTCTGGAAAGTGGATTGTTACTGGAGAGCCTGGCCCCTCCCTGTGCTCTTCACCGTGGTATCTCCCTGTGACATACACTCCTTGAGGAGAGTCAATGAGCAGAAAGGCCTAACAGAGCCAGAAGACTCCCGCATCAAAGACCTCCAAAGGAGAGATCAGTAAACCTTTTTTCTTTATAAAGCTCCCATCCTCAGGTATTTTGTCATAGCAACAGCAAATAGAAAGCTAACCAGAGGATTCCTCACGAAGCTGACATGGGCATCAGAGGTTGGTTCCGTAGAAGCAAATCCTGAGGCGATGCTGTGGCGGTCCAGCCGTCACATCCCAAACATGCCTGAGTTGGGGAGTGAGGACTGAGAAAGGAAAGAACACTCAGGCTTGAGTGCAAACCAAGAGAAATCTGATTTATTTCACAGAAACAGCTCCTTTTATAGGCTGACATCAACAAAAAGCTTTTAAAGGCACACAACAGAAAACACCAAGCAATTGTTTTCATCTTATGCAAAGACCCGATTTTCTGACTCTTTACAAAGAACATCAGCTCTGTGGCTGTCTGAGTTTCTCCCATTGCAGGGTCAAACAACAAGTTTAACAAGCAGAGTCCTAGAAAAGTAACAAATGTTGCATAGATTGTCTATGCCTTGAGTGTAGAGGAAGAAGTTTCCTTTCAAATGTCAAAGGCCAAGAGGGCCCTGGCCCAGCTCCCACAGATGCATGGGGGAAGTGCTCTCAGCAGGGGGAGGGAGGGAATCGGAGCAGGGCAGAAGACTACAGCTGAGCAGGAGCGCTGCCAGGAGGAGAGGTGCTTCAGCCCAAGCCCGTAGGCACCTCTGAGCGCAGGCTGCACCGCAATTCCAGCTCCTAAGGACAGAGCCCGTCCACGGTAGCCTCCCCTGCACTCCCCGCGTTCTGGTCAGGTGCCGGCAGGCAGCGGTGAGTTGCCAGCTCCCTTGGGCTCCTGGGATGGATGCATCACCAGAAGTACTGGTAGGGATTATCGTGGGTACCAACAGCATGGGGCGGGGAGACCAGGCAGCAAAAAGGAAAGGGTCATATAAGTAGATAAGAATTTCTGGTTGTGATACATGCAGTGAAGAAGAAATGGAAATAAAACAACTTGGGACTGGGTACAGCAGAAGCTAATTTAGGCACGGTGCATGAGGAAGACACCACATTGCTGCTGAGACCTGAACGGGAGACCCAGTCCGGTGATCTGCGGCAGGGCCAGAGGCTGGAAGGAGTGGGTATGTTTAAAGGACAGATGCCGTATGGGACAGTGGAGGTAGAAGGAAGTGAAGTTGCCCCTACTTGCCAGGACTACCTGGTTGACTGACCTCACTGGGCGTGGCATTCCTGACCGTGTTAATCTGCCTTCTGCACAGCCTGAGAGGGTCAGATCTGGCTCGGTGAGCTCACGTGCCTGGCAGAGCCTCTGCTGGCAGTGGTGCCACCTCTTAACTGTTTTATCAGCCGGGAGTGGTGGCTTACATTTGTAATCCCAGCACTCGGGAGGCTGAGGCAGGGGGATCGCTATGAGTCAAGACCAGCCTGGGCTACATATTTAGTTCCAGGTCAGTCTCAACTACGTAGTCCCTGTCTCAAACAAATAAACAAACAAACTTCTATCAGTTCTATTGATGAATAATTAACATCTGAGTCTACATGTATCTAATGTACAACTTGAGATATTTTGATAATTTGTTAGGTGATCTCCAAAATAAAGATAATGAAGGTATCACTTTCAGAAGTCTTTACTATAGGTTGCATTTTCTAGAATTTTATATAACCAAAATTTAGAATGTACTCTTCTGGCTAGTGTGGCTGCTTGCAGCATAATTATTTAAGAGTCATCTGTGTCGTCACATTTGTTAAAGCTCATTGCATTTTCTGGGTGAGCAATAGCCTGTTCTACTTGTGTCTCACAATTTGTTTTCCCATTTACCTTTGATGGGAAGGCTGGTTGTTTCCAGTTTGGGGGAATTACAAATAAAGCTGCTTGAACTTATTGTACAGGTCTTTATGTGGACGCATGTTTTCATTTTCTTGAAGTAATTCCTAGGAGTGGAATGATGGGGCCATATGGCAGGTATATGTTACATTTTTTTTTTCAAAAGAGCTCTTGCTGTGTAGTTCAGGTGGGCCTTGAACTCTTTGTGTACCCCAGGCTGGCCTCGAACTCCAAGCAATCCTCCCGCCTCAGCCTCCTGATTTGGACCACCATGCCTGGCTCTGCATCCCCGCCTCCCACCAGTACCCTTGATCAAAGTCAGGACCTTGCTCTTACAGTGCAAGTGGGGCACCACTGAGCTAAATCCTTGGCCTGGGCCTACATTTTTATGAAGCTCCCAAACTGTTGGGGTATTTTGGTGTGCTGGGGCTTGAACCCAGGGCCTCACACCGTGAAGCAAGCACTGTACCATTGAGCTACATCCCCAGTGTTGCCCTGGGTGATGGGGCCCAGGAGGATTTGTAGGTTCTCATGTGCAGCAAAGAATTGAACATGATACGTGATGGTAAAAAATCGGCAAAGTTTAACCAGGTGGCAGTGCAAGTAGAGTGAATTGACTGGCCCTGCCGAAAGGACTGCAGAAGTGCTGAAGGCTTTTGGATTAAGAATTCAAATGTATGGGGCCGGGGATTTACCTCAGCGGTTCGTTGGCCTTCCTAGCAAGCGTAAGGACCTGAGTTCAATCCCCGGTACCAAAAAAAAAAAAAAAGAATTCAAATGTAGCTGGGGATTTGACTTAGTGGTTCTACTTCCTGACTTGCAAGTACAAGGACCAGAGTTTGATCCCCAGTACCAAAAAAAAAAAAAAGAATTCAAATGTGCCAGGTTTAGGGCACCCTTGTTGGGTCTTCAGAGTGTGGCTGACAGGTGCTGAGTCACACCCCATAATTCACTGATGTAACTGGATGCAGGAGGTGCGTTCCGTATTGATGAATCTTCAGCAAGTTCCAGGTGAAGAAAGGTACTTAGGTTGTGCTGGAGAATATGGCACACATGCATCCTGGTTTGGGACTTAATTTTCCAAGGAGGGCTCAGGGGTCTTTGTTTTTCTTATGTCTGCCTCCAGCTAGGACAAAAGTGGGGGAACCCTGAGGCATTGCCCAAATTCAAATAGAGGTGAATGGTCCCTTAGCCCAGTTGGAGTATATCATCACCTGGCCTTTTCTTCTTAAAAAATTTATTGTGTGGTACTGTGGATTGAATCCAGGGCCTATATGTTGAGCTACACTTCCCCAGCCCTTTTTTGTTTTGAGTTAGTCTGAGTTGCACAGGCTAGACTCAAACTTTTGTTCTTCCTGCTCAGCCTCTTGAGTAGCTGGGATTATAGGCATGCACCACCACACCTGGCCAGTTTATTTTATTTACTTTTTTGTTTGTTTTTTTAAGGCAGGATCTCACTATGTAGTTAGGGTTGCCTTGAACTCACCATGTAGCCCAGGCTGACCTCAAACTTGATAATCCACCTGCCTCATCCTCCCAAGTGCTGGGATTGCAGGGTATGCCACCACATCCAGCCTATTTGGATGGAGGTGGGTACCAGGGATCAAAGTTGGGACCTTCCACTTTGCACCACTGAGATAAATCCCTGCCCCCCCTTTTTTTCCTTACATGTTGCCTTAACTCGTGGGCTCCAGTGGTTTTCCTTTTCTTTTTTCTGAGATAGGGTCTCACGATGTAATTGAGACTCACCTGGAACTCACTATGTAGCCCAGGCTGGTCTTGAACTCAGCCATCCTCCTGCCTCAGCCTCCCAAGTGCTGGGATTACAGGGATTCACCACCATGCCCAGTTTCCAGTGGTTTTCTTGCCTCAGCCTCCTGAGTAGCAGAAACTCCAGTTGGGTGGTATGCTGTACAATTGAAACTGTCAAATATTTTCACAAAATAGTCATACCAGATCCCCAATAATACCAAATGAAACTTTGTATATCTCCACGTCCTGAAGCCACACGTGATGGTGCATGTCTGTAATCCCAGCTCTGGGGTGGCTGAATCAGGAGGATTGCTGTGAGTTCAAGGCCAGCCTAAACTATACAGTGAGACCGTGTCTCACAAAATTAAAAACAAACAAAAAACCCCCATGTCCTGGCCGATATGTGGCATGGTTAACTTCATTTTAACCAGTGTGGTAGTATGTCTCAATGGTGGTTTAAATTTGCATTTATCTAGCAGCCAATGATGTTGAGCACCTTTTGGTTGTGTCTATTTCTCATTTTGAGCAAGTTTATTTAGATTCCCCAATAATACCAAATGAAACTTTGTATATCTCCACGTCCTGAAGCCACACGTGATGGTGCATGTCTGTAATCCCAGCTCTGGGGTGGCTGAATCAGGAGGATTGCTGTGAGTTCAAGGCCAGCCTAAACTATACAGTGAGACCGTGTCTCACAAAATTAAAAACAAACAAAAAACCCCCATGTCCTGGCCGATATGTGGCATGGTTAACTTCATTTTAACCAGTGTGGTAGTATGTCTCAATGGTGGTTTAAATTTGCATTTATCTAGCAGCCAATGATGTTGAGCACCTTTTGGTTGTGTCTATTTCTCATTTTGAGCAAGTGGTTATTTAGATCTTTTTTTCTTTCTTTCTTTGTTTCTTTTTTTTTTTTTTTTGGTACCGGGGATCAAACTAGGGTCCTTGAACTTGTGAGGCAGGCAGCAGAACCACTAAACTAAACCCCCGGCCCTGTCTCAATTTTTTTTAATGCTATATAGTCCAGGATGGCCTCAAACTCAAGCAGTCTTCCTTCTTGAGCCTCCCAAGCGCTGAGATTACAGGTGTTAGCCACCACAAGCAGCTTGAACTGTAATTCTTTCATACTATGTAAAAGTCCTTAGGTATATTTTGCATGCATTTCCTCTGTCTGTGACTTACCTTTTAGAGTAATTGTCTAGTTCTTAAAAAGTCCAATCTATCCTTTTATTTCCTTTCTGATTCATGCTTTTAGTGCCATGTTTAAAAACTTGTTGCCAAACCTAACCTAAGGTTATGAAGATTTTTTCTTCTGTTTTCTTCTCAAAAGTTTACATTGTAGATTTTTGGCCCTTTCAGGGGAAGAGGATAGGGATTGAACTCAGGGACTTCAAACTGAGCTACCTCCCCATTCTCCCCTCTTTTTTTTTTTTTTTTTTTTGTACTGGGGATTGAACTCAGTACCTTGTGTGCCCTCCTTTTTTTGAGACAGGAACTCACTCTACAGTCTAGGCTGGCCTTGAAGTTACTATGTAGCCCAGGCTGGCCTGGAACTCATGGCGTTCCTCCTGTCTCAGCCTACGACGTACTGGGATTGCAGGTGTGCAGCACCGTGCTCTTCATTATTGTAGTTTCCATGAAATCTCAATATCTGGTAGTGTAAATGTTCCAACATTTTTTCGTGTGTGGCAGTACTGGGGTTTGAACATGAGGCCTTTGCCCTGCGCTACAGGGTACCCTTTTTATTTTGTGATAGAGTCTTGAATCACTAAATTGTCTAGCCTGGGCTTGGGGTTCTCCTGTCTCAGCTTCCATTAAGCTGGAATTATACCCCTGCACCACCATGCTGGCTTCCAACAATGTTATTCAATGTTGCTTTTACCTGGGAGCTCCTTTGTATTTCCATATCAATGTTGGAATGTCAGTTTCTACAAATACACCCTAGCGCTCGCTGTTCAGAGATTTCTGTTATGACCAGGGTGCTCAGGCGTGCTCAGGGTGTCTGACAGACGAAAGTGGAGCCGGGGCTTCTCTAAGCCAGCCAGTGAGAGATGCAGTCCTCTCTCTACACTGTCTGTTACTAACTTGAGTTTTCATTAGCAACACTGGTATTTCAGGCAAGGGGTGGATGACACCAGGAATAGTTTACAACTATCAGTTTCCCTTATTTCCATAGGAAAAGCTGTCAAACCCAAGGAGCCAGGTGTGATGGCACATGCCTGGAATCCCAACACTTGGGAGGCTGAACCACAAGGATTGTCACGTTTTCAAGGTCAGTATGGGCTACATGGCAAAAGGGGGGGGGTCTAGAAAACCCTGGGAAATGTTTATGTGATAATTTGAACAGGAAAAATTATGGGAGATAATGGATAATACTCCTTACAATCTCCTTTCACAAACAGACTTTGATTTTTAGGAAATGTAATGAAAACTACAGAGTTTAGACTCACAATTAAAAGACTCAGTGGTTCCTCTGATGGAATCATCTCATAGTCCTTATAGAAACTGTAGCTCTGGACCCCGAGGAAGGCAGCCAGACCCGAGGTTGGGTCCTGGATGGAAGATCCATGTGGGCCACAGGAGCACTGGCCCGGATGCCAGGCCCTGCTTGGTATCCTGCCAGCCCTGCTCCGGGCCAATAGATGCAGTTCCTTCTGACGGCCTGAGGACCCTGGAGAGGCTGTAGAGTTTTCCAAGTTTCTTCTCACTGTGGCGCCCTCCCTGCTGGTCTGGGTTCCCCTCTCCTGGAGCTGGGCAGGAAGTGTGATCTGGCTTCTTCCTGTGATTTCAGCCTGGCTCCTGAGTTTCCTTCTCTGTTTTTGTGTGCTAGGGAAGTCCTGCACCACTCAGCCACACCCCAGAACTGACTCCTTGAGATACTATGCAAGTAATACAACACCTGCCCTTTCCCGAAACAATGAGGCATTCTTTGTGTGATTGCAGCTTTAAAAAAAGTAAACAATTGTGCATCTGTTTGTTTATCTTTTTTTTTTTTTTTTTTTTTTTT